GCATGTGTACAATCTACAGCATATTATGGTTTTGAAAAAATGTTCTACTTAATGGAATTTGAGCAATTAATTTCATTCATTACTATCCGTCAACCTCTCCTGGTTAACTAGTTCACTAGTTACTAGCCGGTCCTAAGCCCGGGTAAAGAGGGAAGGTTGGGCATAGGGTTAGCAACCATACCCCGTAAAACAAATCTAACCGCTAAAGAAACTTCAAAGCACAAACGAAATATAAAAAATAATAACAAAATTATTCCTCGCTGGAATCGGAGAGGCGAAATGACGCCAGTTGGTGAAAGCCTTCTCTCTTCTTTTCTCGATGAAAGCGAAAGTAAGAGTGAGGACATGGAATGCCCGCACGATGTTTGAACCCAGCAAGGAGGCCCAGATTGCAAACTAGGTGAAGAGGTATCACATTGAAGTGCTTGGAATTTGCAAAAGCAGATGGAATGGGAGTGGACTCTCCAAACTGTCAACTGGAGAATCAATAATCTACTCCGGTCACCCAGACGACAACCACGAGCACACAGTTTCCGAGTGGCTATCATGATGTCCCCAAGCGTATCGAAGGCCCTCATGCAGTGGGAACCAATCTCCTCTAGCTTGATCATGACAGCAAGGTTCAACTCAAAAGGGAGGAAGGTCACAATCATACAATGCTACATCATGCACCTACACATAATGCAGATGAAGAGAAGGAGGAATTCTACAGATAACTTCAATCAACACTAGACAAGACGTCAGCTGGCGACATCAAAATTCATTCTGATGGGAGACATGAATGCCAAACTGGGAGCAGACAACACAGGAGGAGAACTAACCATGGGTGGAGAAGCGCTCGGTGAGGTGATGAACGAGAATGGAGAATTGTTTGCAGAATTCTTTGCATTCAACGATTTGGTGATTGGAGTCAGGCATTGTGTTCAAGCACAAGGATATCCACGAAGAGAGCGACATGGATTTCACCAGATGCCAGGACACACTAAAAATCAGACCGACTTCATCCGAATGTGAAGAAAGTGGAGATGCAGTCAGCCTACTTGACACAAGATCAAGAAGGGGAGCAGATGTAGGTTCACACCACTCACCATCTGGTGCAAGGGACCTTCCAAATCAAGTTGAAAGCCTTCTAGAAAGTTGGCGACAGACCACAGTTCAATTTCAACACCCAGAACAGAAACTGAAGCACGAAACTACAAAGAAAATCTTTATGTCAGCCATCAGAACAAAATGGGAGGTATTGAGCAACATCCCGAAGAAACCTGTGTGGAAGAATACTGGAACTCTTTGAAAGCTATGTGGAAAGAAACCCGCATAACTGTATTAGGAAGGAAGAAGAAAGAAGATAAGGAATGGATCTCGACGGACACATGGAAGCTGATAGAGGAAGGAGAGGAGGATGGTGAAGCAGAAGATAAACCAGTGCAAGGATGAACAACAAGAAGAGGAACTGAGTGAAACGTATGAAACACTGGACAAAGAAGTGAAGAAGAGTGCACGGAAGGACAAAAGACACTTCCACGACACACTGGCAACTGAAGCAGAACAGGCTGCAGGTAGGAGCGACAGAGGCCTGACAACATTGTATCAAATAACCAGGTTACCATCTGGGAGGGAAGAGACCAACTCAGATGAAATCAATAAAAGATAGTGAAGGAAAGCTAGTTACCATCAAAGAGGACAAACAAAGGAAACGATGGGCTGACCACTTCAAAAAGCTCTTGAATCGACCATCATCTGCACTTCGTCCAGAAATACCACCAGCAGCCCAGCCACAGAACTACCAGTGAACACAGGCCCTCCAACAAAAGCAGAAGTCCTGAACGCCACAAAGCTACTGAAATGTGGGAAAGCAGCAGGACCAGATGGAATCCCACCAGAAGCACTGAGAACAGACGCAGGGACAACAGCGGACATGCTCACACCACCATTGCAGAAGGTCTGGGAGGAAGGAAAGGTACCGGCAGGTTGGAAGAAGAGCTACCTTGTCAAACTACCGAAGGAGGGAGACCTAAGTCTTTGCAAGAACTGGCGAGGAATCATACCTCTGTCTGTAACCACCCCCAAGCAAAATATTATACCGCGTCATCCTGGAGAGACTAAAGGATGTGCTGGATTCAAAACTACGACCGGAACAGGCTGGATTCAGGAGATACAAATCATGTGCAGACCAAATTGCAATGCTACTCTACGCATCATCATAGAACAGAGCATAGAATACCAGTCAACTCTCTATCTCAACTTCATCGACTTTGAAAAGGCCTTCGACAGCGTCGACCGAGAAGTAATTTGGCGGGCAACTGCTTCAACACTACGGTTTTAGTGCCACAAACCTTTATCAACCTCATTCAACAACTATATGAAGACGCCACATGCCAGCCAAGTAATTCACAATGGGAAGCTCGGTGATGCTTTTGAAGTGAAGACAGGAGTAAGACAAGGCTGTCTACTATCACCGATGATCTTCCTGATTGTGGTGGACTGGATCATGCAGCAGACGGTGAGGAGCTGTGAGAAGAGGGGGATACGCTGGACCGGGGTAAAGATCCTAAAAGATTTGGATTTCGCCGATGACTTGCATTTAATATCGCACAAACTCGAAAATCTACAGGCAAAAACTAACAAGTTGACAGAAAAGGTGAGGCAGCGAAGACGGGACTTCTTTCAAGTGAACGTAGAGAAGACGGAGGTGATGATGATACCCAACAAACACCACCAACCACAACAATAAGCTCCAATCACCATGAACGGGAGAAACGTAAAAGAAGTGCCCCCTTTCACCTATCTAGGAAGCACTGTTTCAACTACAGGCAGAAAGACGAGGATGTCAAAGTCAGGATCGGAAAAGCAAGACAGGTGTTCATTAGCCTGAAACTAGTGTGGAGATCTCCACTCAGCATGTGGAAGAAGATGCGGATTGTCAACACCAACGTCAAGTCAGTGCTTCTGTACGGTTGAGAGACTTGGCGCGTTACGAAACTACAGACATTCATCAACAACTGCTTACGCTGGCTACTGAAAATCAGATGGCCAGAAAGAATAAGCAACAAGGAGCTCTGGGAACGAACCAACCAAGAAGCTATCACTGAACAAATATGCAGAAGGAAGTGGAGATGGATTGGGCATACACTGAGAAGACCGACTGGGGACATCACGCGTCAGGCCCTCGAGTGGAATCCCCGTGGGAAACGACGAGTTGGGCGTCCGAGGGTGAGATGGAGGAGATCGTGCGGGGAGGAAATGAGAGCTTGTGGGTAGTCGTGGAGCCAGGTACAAAAGATTGCAGAGAACAGAGTGGAATGGCGACGTGCTACTGAAGCCCTATGTCCCATTAGGAACCGAAGGGACTAATAATAATAATAATTACTATCGGTCAGTATTGTTACTAGGTTTGGCTGATGATCCCCGGTATGCCAACGTATGTGATTGTCAGATGTGTGTTCATAGTGTGTTTCCATTCATTTTGGTTAGCATTACTGAGCCTATAATTTTAATCGCTCACTGTAGGAAAACAAATTTTTGCCTGTCACTTTTGGAACTGCGTGTGTATGTACAAGGGAAGTATAGCGAAAGAGAAACATTTTTTATTGTTCACTGTATTTTAGGCCTGTGTGACCATCGTCTTCCTTTCATGTATGAGTCATTCGTACGCATTATTCATCTGATGTGTACACACATGCAAATAAGATTGTTTTCCTCTATTTTGCTTTTGTACACTCTCTAATGAGTCATTTAATCATGTCTTCTATATATATATGCTCATTTTAGCAATTATTTTACTATCACAATTATGTCTTATGGTTTAAATCTGTGCCATTGTTTATGCGTGTAGAAGTAACAGCAACATCAGCAGTTAAAATAACGTGGTTAAGTGTACTTTTCTCTTCCTAGTCAATCAGTCTTAGGGTTTTATGCGGGTACGGGAAAATACAGTCATAAGTTAAGCAACTTTTCATCGTGAATCGCCAGCAGGACTACCACTGCAAACCATGTGGCCCTGGAAGGGATCGAGTCGAGGAAGTTACCACCATTCAGTTACTGGATTTGAATCCGATGGTTCTAATTTTCCAACAGCTGTCTATTTGTGATTCAATGCTAGCACTGAACTTTTATCCTCATATCCAACCTGGTTAGTTATTTCTCGTTCGATTCCTCATGAAGACGTAGGTGGACATTGCTGATAAGTTTTGAACTAGAGATAGCTTTCCGGTGCTCGCTGGTTTTCAGAGGTTTCTAGTTGATAAGTGTCTGTGGCAAAATGTGCTTCGAAATCAATCAGCTTCCCACAGCTCTCAAGTAAAGTCGATGTGCTGCCAGTGCAGTTATTCTATTTGAATGGAAGTATCAGTTAAGTCTAATTACATAAAACTGTGTTCATCTGCGGTCTAAAATCAAAACATTTTGACGGTCGTTGTATGGTTTTGTTCGAGAACTCAGCTGTTTAGCGGGCAGTCTACTCAACGTTGGTTCACAGATTAATCTCACTCCAACTGATATAGCTTGCATATCCACAGGTATATCACGTGACACCTTAATGTCTGATGCAGTACAGTTTGCTTAACGGTAAGACAGTTGATGACTGTTTTGTGGTGTTACCTCTGAGTAGCTCAGTGACCTACATATTCGCCTATGAATCAGTTTTGCTGGAGTTGAAGTCCACTTGCCGTTGGTGCAGTGTCATAAGCCTTGATACATTGTGCATGGCTGATAACGGATTCCATTCATGTTACCGCTAGCTACTATTAAGGCGGAGTTGGTAGGGAGTTGACTTCCAACCAATGGGTCGGAACACTGCTCCACGTACCGAAATTTGGTCAGCCAGATGGTTTCATTTACCCTCACACAATAAGTATGGCTCATCGCACGAATATGTACAAGGTGGCTAAGTAGCTTTTGACTCTTTTTTTCATATACTATCAAGTGGTATTGTTTGAAGTTTTAGTGTGATTTTTTGCCTGTTCAACCTAACGTATACTTTTCTATTACTTCTCATTACCTAGACGGAAGGGGGACAACGGCGATTTACGAAACGTGACGCCAGTGTGTTTATGCGGCGTAGTGAATATGGTATAGTGGATCAAGTTATGGTCACATGGAATAATGAAGGGAATAAATTTTGTAAAGTACGTGTTCGTACTACTAAAGCGCCTCAAGTAGGCGATAAATTCGCCAGTCGACACGGACAGAAAGGTACATGCGGTATTCGATATCGTCAAGAGGATATGCCATTCACATGTGAAGGGATTACGCCAGATATCATTATCAATCCACACGCTATACCTAGTCGTATGACTATTGGGCATTTAATTGAATGTTTACAGGTAAGAAAGGATATTTTTCACAATAGTGTGCACAATGATTTTAGGAAATATGATATAAATAACTATTGGTTTCATTGCCTAAACAGCTATACCAGGCTTCTTTTTATGTAACTGTGTGGAGCTGTGGCTCAATTCGTTATGGAGGTGACAACCAACTATTGCATCGTGAGTTCGAAACCCGCCTCACCTACCGTGGTTCGGGCAGTCAGGTAGTATCACTAGCCCTCACAAAATATGTGTGGCTAATCGTCTACTGCACAGATATGCACAAGGTGACCGAGTGTGGTTCATTCTTCGATTGTTAATCTTCTACGTTGCTTTTCCTGTTTAGTTTAGCCCAGAAAAATAAAGAATAATTTGATGACGTCGGTTGTTTAAAATATTTCCCATCCTTAAAAATGGTATTGTTAGCACAGGTAGGTAAGCAGATAAAGTATTACACCTTGGTGGAATGACACATTATTTCTGCCTTGCTCTGATTCACTCGAGTACATGACCAATATGGATATTATAAAACACTAATCATCGACTAGAGATCATAGATCAAGTGTATATAATGTGTGAACTAGGGAAGATTTACAGACAAGGCTCCCCTTAAGACACATTATTAAGAAAGTGGAAAATAATATCTTTTCTTTGGAAAGAGAAATTTTTCTATGGACTAACGAATTTCGTAAAGACTTATTTACACAGATAAGCTTAAAAATAGGATACAAGTTGTGATTTGAATTACAAAACTGGTGATTAGGTTCTAAATGTATGCTTCAGTACACTGTTGATAACGCTTACCTAAGTAGCTGCAGTACTACTCTTATCCTCGTTTGCAGAACATTAATCATTTCAGGTGACTGGGGCGTACACCGCTTACCCCAATGCCTAATGTCAAATGCAGTAGAAATTAGCTTAGAGGAAAGTTAAAGGCGGTCAAATCGAGATACCGTATCTGAGTTGTGTAGGAAAATGTCATCCTGTTTGCGATTGACGATACGATGGATGGCGACGATGGTATGGGCAAGAATCGATCGTATTAGTGCGCATTCATCTATGGTTTATCTTCATTGACACATCCCTGTTTTGCAGTTTTACAACTGCTGATATTTTCGTTTCACTGGGTTTTCCTTGTCATTTATTCATCTGGATGTGAAGTGTGGCAAGCAGTGACAGCAAAATTTCAAAAACAACTAATCGCAAAATAAGCCATCAACACTGGCTACTAACCCACCCGTGAAGAGATTCTAGTGGCTTGCTTCTTCCTGAAGTTTGTCCTAATGACGGTATCTTGAGTGTTAGTTAAAGCTCTGCGATCAGGTTTTTGCTGTGTAATAAGGGTGTAAATCGAACGACCAAACGGTTCTATGTTGACAGGAAGTGATATTTCAACAGTTTAGATGCGTTGAAAATTACATCTACGTCATCGGACGCAGTTGAACCGATCGAGAGCTCTGTTCTAATTCATCCTACCTAGTATGCTTTTGCCTTGTTCTTCTTTTCCTTATTTTTGGCTAACACAGTTATCTTCCTTTAGCATTGATCGACCTCCATGGTGTCCTGAGATTAGTTGCATCTCGAAGAGCCTAGACGTTGGACATGTATTTGAGCCACAAGCCTTCAAATACGTTGATTGCTTAAGCGTCAAGAAACAGGTGGCCTGTTCATACAAAAGTATTATTTGCACACAGACGTCTTTTTCCACCTATTTAAGATTCTCTATTTCGTTTTATTGTAGGGTAAAGTTAGTGCTAATAAAGGCGAAATTGGTGATGCAACACCATTCAACGATGCTGTCAATGTACGCAAAATCTCATTACTTTTACAAGAATACGGTTACCAACATACTGGAAATGAGATTATGTACAATGGATTCACTGGTAGGAAGTTGAATTCACAAATTTTCCTTGGACCAACCTATTATCAACGTTTAAAACATATGGTGGATGATAAAATTCACAGTCGCTCCAGAGGTCCAGTACAAATTCTCAATCGTCAGCCTATGGAAGGTCGAAGTCGTGATGGTGGTCTGCGTTTTGGTGAAATGGAACGAGATTGTCAGATAGCGCATGGCGCTGCTCAATTTTTACGTGAACGATTATTTTTCGCCAGTGATCCATACCAGGTTTATGTGTGCAATTTATGCGGTCTGGTAGCTATTGCCCATCAACGTAATAAGACCTATGAGTGTAGAAGTTGCAAAAATACAACACAGGTTAGTTAGTGATTCTAACATGTCTTTGTGTTTTAAGTTAACTAATTCACTTGTAGTCTTTTTTCAACCAAGTTACTAGTTTCGAACGTATATGATCTCTTGTCCCAATTCGCTGTTGGTTAAGCGTAGGAGCGTCTAAAATTATTCATCGAATGTCACCAATAATCCTGTAAACTTTGGACATACATGTATCAAACTTTCGTAAAAGTAACTCAATTTAGGTTTGTCTTATGTTCACTTATTTTTCTATATTTATAGCTTATTCTATGGACCTACGGAAATTGGGTATATGATGGCTTAGTTTTACTGGTATTGGGTAACGATTCCAGGAAATCCGCACATCTAAACCCACTTCAGTGAAACCTGTATTGTGGTGCTATGCTAGAATTTGATTATTCCTAGGTTATAGAGAGTCCTGGCGTAACCTTTTACTCTTCGCCATAGAAAACATTGCAAATATAAGTTTTATCATGCCTGAGGTATTCTCTAGGTGGTAACCAATGCAGCTGTCAAGCTCTTTGATTCGACCGAAGTCTACCGACCAAGTGTGCGATGAGTGAGATGACACTGTGGTGCACCTTACTTAGTGCTACAAAGGTGGAAAGCCACACTCGATCTTCAACCAAAGTCGCTGATCCAAACCCAGCTCCACCTACCGAGATCTGGACAGTTATGTAGTATGTCTAGCTCTTGCACAATAGATGTCACTCATCGCCCAGTGCAGACGGTTGTTGAGCTTCATTTTCATCTTTTCAGCCACGAATTGGTCAGTAATAAACCCTGAGTTGCGACTTAACCTCACACATATAAACTTTAAGACTGTCACATAGCCGTCATAAAGATAGCTAGGTCCTATTTTTAAATCCCGCCCCAGTTCATTCGAGCTGAACGACCAGATACTGTTCTAGACCCTCACACATTCAGAGTGACTTATAGCTTATTACACAAAATCTTGTCTGGTTAAGCTCCTTCTACAGGTGGAATATACAAAGGGGGTGATGTGTGAATTTTACTTTTTAACCACAGAAACAACATGCAAAACGAATGTAGCAGTAACTGTTCGCTGCTAAACAATTGCATAGACAATCTTCTAACTCGCCCTTATTCGTTGACTTTAGATTTCACCTAGATCGTTCAGTGTTGGTTCGACCTGAACTTCTTTCCTTATATCATGTTTCACACTTGACTCCCGTAATAATTTCATTACTATCACCCCTCTCACTACATGTCCCAGGTTACAAGATGTTTTTATTCTATCATGAAAACATGATATTCATTCCTCAGTTATAAAACTTGTTTATCCTGTCATTTTCTCGTTTTCATTTCCTAGATTTCTTTAATCAAACTACCCTATGCGTGCAAATTGCTATTCCAAGAATTAATGGCTATGTCTATCGCACCGAGAATGATGATCAATAGTCCTGTTATTTAACTGTATGATAACAATAGCAATGATGGCGATGTGAAAGCCTAGTGATGACTGTTCTTCCTTTTCTGTAAATAAAACTCTTTCGTGTACCATCTGCCTTATTGTTTACCAAATGTCTGCCGTTAAGGTCTTATTGTATATAATGACTGTCAAGGCCCCACGCATAAAGGGGTATTCTGATTAGTGTAGAATGGCGTCGGGTGGAGAGAACCGATCAGTGCATTCTACATCTTTTCAAAGACGCACACAATGAGTACATATTTATGTGTATATGTATATTTCTAATTCTTTGATACAAATGTGAGGCAGAAAAGATAAGAGTTTAGTTTGTTTTTGGTTGTTTTTTCCTCATCAGTAGAAATGATAGTGTTGAAACTGGTATAATTTCATTATTCTGTGCATCATTTATCTCGCTGTGTATATGTAGTACGCAATAAAATTGTATGCATTAGAGTGTGACGCGTTCTCGCGTTAATGATCTGAAAATAAACAGGTGAAAAAGAAATATAGGTCATTAAAAAAGAAGGCAAACCTTCCCGAATATATCCAAAGAGCTATCAAGTTGTATTTTGATGCTCATAGATATAATGCGGGATACAATAAACATCATAGCATGTACAGTCAGATTAGTCGACTATCCGAAAGGCATGGTGGTTGATCTGCAAGCTGTACAACAATAAGAGTCAATGTAATCACGAGTCATTACTTATGTTGAATACTGTTTCTGATGATAGTTACAATCCATTGAATAAGTGTTAGAAATATTCGTCAATAGTATCTTCAAGTGTAGATGCAGTAATGCTGAAGCTTACCAACGTTTGAGAAACCCTCAACTCGACCAGAATACGTGTGTAAAGCAGTCCTAATGAAGGATTCAATCTGTTCAGCGTTCACAAAACAACAAACTGGTCTATAAATACATTGCTGTAGAATATGATGAGCAACACTGAGTAGCTCGCTCAGTATAGGTGGCGCTTGGTATCACTCAGGCATATGCATCCACAAATATCGGAATATCAGTATAAAGTTCAGCAGTCCCTATTATATTTTCAGCATATGCTTTTTCAAGGACAGGTGGTTTAATATTTATCCGAGTCACCTGGGTGTAAATAGATAATACTACGTTGCACGATAATTAGGAAAAGCATGAGCTCATAAGTGGCTATTTCTTTTTGCTTGTACAAGTTAACTACTCCTACAAGTCAATAATCAGTAAATATTAAACAGAAATGGTTCTTACTTTACAAATGCGGTGAAGAATCAGTCAAATTTCTCAGACAGCAGTGATACCAATTTTCTTTTCCCTCTATACGTTTGTCGAAGGCATTCAACTAAACTTCTGAATTGCAACGGTCCATCTGGTCGTAACAGATGAAATGTATCTCGAGCCCGTGTTAGAAAAGCGATAAATTCTGAATACTGGCGTGGACTAATATTTGCCAATCGTGTGTGCGTGGCCATGACGAATGCATTGACAGCTGCATCCAGTAATCCTTTCAACGGTGGTCGGTCTAAAGTCAAAATTTTGCCTGGGGCAGTTGTGCCGCTGTTGTTATTATTATTAATGTAATGTGATGCTGGATTACAAGCGTGTCCTATACACTGATTGCCTAAAAAATCAGTACATAAGGTGATAAATTTATTCGGTATATTTAAGCATAAGAATAATAGTTTGGTCACTAGGCTTTCTTTATCAATCAGAAGTGATAATAATAACCACCCACAATAAGTAGGATCACATATCAGTTATTCTTAATGATATTTCGATTAAGATTCTGCAACCTGCTAGGTTGTGTATGGTATGCACGGTCATTCCTCTTTAAATGCATGTATTCCTTTCTAGGTCGGCAACTGTCTTTAAATAGCAGAGCTGTCAGCGCTAATTCAGCTGGTATTATTATCATTATATTACTTGTCCCTTGGGTTCCTAGTGAAACGAACATAGGGATTCAGTAGCACGCCTCCATTACACTCTCTTCTCTGCAGTCTTTTCAACCTGAATCCACGACTACCAACAACCTTTCATTTCTTCCTCACACAATCTCCTACATGTCACCCTCGGACACCCAACTCGTCGTTTTCCCCTCTGCATCCCACTCAAGGGCCTGACGCGTGATGTCCCCAAATGGTCTTCTCAGTGTATGTCCAATCCAATCCATCTCCACTTTCTTCTGCATACTTGTTGGGCAATGGGTTCTCGATTGGTTGGTTTGCTGCCCAGCTAGAGTTCCTTGTTACTTATTCTTATAATGCTGGTCATCTGATCTTCAGTATCGAGTGAGCATAGACGGCGGCTGTTGATGAATGTATGTAGTTTGTTGGAAGTGCTTTTCGTGACGCGCCAAGTCTCTGAACCATATAGCAGCCACTGACTTTACTGGCATTGGTGTTGAAAATCCGGATGTTGTTCACGTTTTATGCCGGGTAGAGAAGATCTCCACACTGATTTCAGACTAGTGAAAGCCTGTCCTGTTGTCCTTCCGATCCTGGTTTTGACATCCTCATCTGTGCCGCCGCCGCCACCTGTAGTTGAAACGATGCTGCCCTGCATAGGCAGGTGAAAGAGACTACTTCCTTTAAGTTTCTCCCGTTCATGGTGATTGGAGCTTATTGTTGTGGTTGGTGGTGTTTGTTGGGTATCATCATCACCTCCGCCTTCTCTACGTCCACCTGAAAGAAGTCTCGTCTTCGCTGCCTCACCTTTTCTGTCAACTTGTTAGTTTTTGCCTGTAGATTTTCGAGTTTGTGCGATATTAAATACAAGTCATCGGCGAAATCCAAATCTTTTAGGATCTTTACCCCGGTCCAGCGTATCCCCCTCTTCTCACAGCTCCTCATCGTTTGCTGCATGATCCAGTCCACCACAATCAGGAAGATCATCGGTGATAGTAGACAGCCTTGTCTTACTCCTGTCTTCACTTCAAAAGCATCACCGAGCTTCCCATTGTGAATTACTTGGCTGGCATGTGGCATCTTTATATAGTTGTTGAATGAGGTTGATAAAGGTTTGTGGCACTTAAACCGTAGTGTTGAAGCAGTTGCCTGCCAAATTACTTCTCGGTCGACGCTGTCGAAGGCCTTTTCAAAGTCGATGAAGTTGAGATAGAGAGTTGACTGGTATTCTATGCTCTGTTCTATGATGATGCGTAGAGTAGCATTGCAATTTGGTCTGCACATGATTTGTATCTCCTGAATCCAGCCTGTTCCGGTCGTAGTTTTGAATCCAGCACATCCTTTAGTCTCTCCAGGATGACGCGGTATAATATTTTGCTTGGGGGTGGTTACAGACAGAGGTATGATTCCTCGACAGTTCTTGCAAAAACTTAGGTCGCCCACACTCTTATCGCAAAGCTGTCCCCACTTTCCTGTTGCGATCAATATGAAAAAACTGGTTCCTTTACGGAGATGATTTTTCGGACGAACAACTAGCTTGCTTAAAATATATAGGACAATGCGGTGCGAAACGAATAACTTCATCGAAGCTAACAGGTGGAAAAATTTTTATTAATGCGTCTGCATGTCGATGGATAAAAAAATTGAGCGTAGATATGGTTGTTAGAGTGTGAATTAGGTAACTAGACATCTTTACACAAGCATTTAAGTCATCACACTTTTTTGATAAAATGATACACGAAGTTGCTGACTACTTCAGCAAAACTACGCCATTAATGGTTCTTGATATCCACATGCTCGTGAGTGTAAGCTTGCAGAAAGACAAAACAACTGTTCGCTCAAATATTTCACGTTCCACATATTAAATGGGAATTTTCCGCGGTCGCTGGTTCGAATTCAGGCGCGGTCCAGATTTCCATCTTACCTCCGCCATCACCCGGTATAAATACTGGTCTACCAAACTACGGCTATCTCAGATAGTCAAATGATAATTTTTGGATTACTAAATCTCATGCCAGTTCATTGATTACGTGATGAGACAGTACTATTCACTGGATAGCGTTTCGGAAACAACTGATAAAGCGATTCTGAGATCGGGTTTTTCGTGATTGTAACTGTTTCACTCACTAACCTTGGTAGGTTGGAGAGATGCGTTCTTACTCGAATCAATATGAAAGAAATCTGAAGCATTAAAACTGTCCAAATCAAATCTTTAAGATGTAAAGCTATCTCTAATATATCTAGTGAAAGAATTATGTCCGAAAAGTTATCCGATAAAAAAAATATTCCCTCGCACTGTTTGAATACACCTACCAAACAAAATAGTACGGGTAACTTTTTTGTTGGTTAACCGCCTCTGTAGCTTTGAAGTATGTTTCAGAAATGTCATGACTACCGCACTGATTAATACAATTCACCCTAAAGGTTAGTAATATCCGCCAGTTACTAAGTCATGTACACCTGCCAATCATCATCGGACGCCCAACTCGTCGTTTCCCACGGGGATTCCACTCGAGGGCCTGACGCGTCTTCTCAGTGTATGCCCAATCCATCTCCACTTCCTTCTGCATATTTGTTCAGTGATAGCTTCTTGGTTGGTTCGTTCCCAGAGCTCCTTGTTGCTTATTCTTTCTGGCCATCTGGTCTTCAGTAGCCAGCGTAAGCAGTTGTTGATGAATGTCTGTAGTTTATTGGAAATCCCTTTCGTAACGCGCCAAGTCTCTCAACCGTACAGAAGCACTGACTTGACGTTGGCGTGACAATCCGCATCTTGTTCCACATGCTGAGTGGAGATCTCCACACTAGTTTCAGGCTAATGAACACCTGTCTTGCTTTTCCGATTCTGACTTTGACATTTTCCTCTGTGCCGCCTGTAGTTGAAACAGTGCTTCCTAGATAGGTGAAAAGGGGGCACTTCTTTTACGTTTCTCCCGTTCATGGTGATTGGAGCTTGTTGGAGTTGTTGGTGCGGTATCTTCATCACTTCTGTCTTCTCTACGTTCACTTCAAGTCCCGTCTTCGCTGCCTCTTCTGCCAACTTGTTAGTTTTCGCCTGTAGATCTTCAAGTTTGTGTGACATCAGGCACAAGTCATCGGCGAAATCCAAATCTTCTAGGTTCTTTTCCGCAGTCCAGCGTATCCCCCTCTTCTCACAGCTCCTCACCGTTTGCTGCATGATCCAGTCCACCACAATCAGGAAGATCATGGGGGATAGTAGGCAACCTTGTTTATATATATATATATATATATATATATTCGTAGTGGACTTGTAAGTCTCAGTTACAACATCTTATACACTTGGCTGAACTGAGAATTTGTGGCCAAGAGGTTGTAATAGAAGACCTTACTGCTTACAACATTTGGTTCAGTGGATTTAAGACAACACCAATTCCAATGAATGGGTGTAGACAGTGAGCTTGATTCTATATTCCTCATTATCAAACCCGGTAATTTTCAACAAGACGGCTATATATTCATCACAACCTCGCCTTGATGGTCCGCATACTACAGTGAAATAAATGTAGTAATAACAGATGGCCTTTACATACTGTGTTGGATCAAATAGGTAAGCATACATCTAATGAAGCTTACACATGAAATGTTTATCAACAACAAAAAATTCGCGGTAAACTTACGTCCAATCGGTACTGGGTTAGTCATATTATTATTACTCATAAGTGAAGATGGATCTATAATGGTGTTTGGATTAATATTACCATGATTATTGCTACCACTCAGATTAGGCTGCATAGGATTCAAATTGATCCCACATGGGATAGATCGACAACGCTGTAAAATATCCGATAGTAGAGTTGGACAGTGGACATTACGAATAACATGATTCAATATTTCTTGTAATGCACCTGGACCGAGTCGATGTCCCAATAGGCAGGCCATAAAATTTCATTTGCATACGGATGACTCTCCTTGTATTTTTCCAAACGAAAAACACATGTATATGCAAAACAGGAAGATGATTATTTCATGCGATTAAACAAATTCATAACTTGTCAAAAAAATCTTCCTCAATAACAAAAGAAACTCAAATATTACAGTCAAGGTTTCATAAAAACCTAAAGCAATATTGAACAAGGCTGTGCACAGTTCGGTGGATCGTAAAAATAGGGGCAAAGGTAGGAGTCCGATAGGGACGTGTACCGATCACTCTTGAATTCTTATAATGATAAGTACAACTCTTAGTGAAGTAATCAAGTAGGTTACTATGTCTCATGCTCTGTGTACAAATGCAGCGACTGTGAAAATATCAGAAGACGAAGGCTAATCTTAACTACGAGAATAATCTTACAAGACGAACGAAAATCTCGTGCTAATTATTTTCATGTGCGTAGAAAAACATTAGGTAGTAGGACTGACAAGTTTTTTCGCTTGGTGCATTCGGAAAACAAACTGTTCAAGAAGATTATCCTGACCATAGATCAAAATTGTGACGCTAAAAAATTTCCATCTCGGCAACTGATTATTTCCTAGTTGAATAATACTAGTCCTGGTCAAGAAACCCATAATGTAAATAAAGGTAGGGATAACTCACAAATGTATCAATTATGTACATCTCAAAAATAGTGGCCAACTAAATAATTCAACCACTGAGTTCAGTTTTCATTTACTTGGATATGAAACACTATGCGATACTACCCGGTTTCCTAGATGGAGCTAGGTTCTAAATTCGGACGTAGTAGTTGACAGTCAAAAACTTAAGCCATTGAAATTCATTCATTTTTGCAGACGCTATGCACTTCACCTGATACAACATGATCGAATACTTTATATGAAAACGAAAAATTTCGTAGCCATTGGCGACGAACTTTCAGGAAAGCCGTATAAGAATTAAGACGGGCATGAGAGACAATGAAGGGATAAGAGAGATGAAAATACCTCAGGGTGGATAATAGTGATTCATGTGCTTTTCTTTATGACTGCGCTTTAGTTACGATTTCACGGATACAGTCACCAGGTCAGGTGATATTTTAGTAGTCGACTTACAATTGCACTCAACACCATATTGAGATTCATAATAACAGGCAAGTTTCAGACCTGGACGAGGGTGTATCCGCCACATTTTCGCCCTCCAACAGGTTCTGGAACACAGGCATACCTACCAGCGACCGAAACTTGCTATATTTCTTGACCTGAAGGCGCCATTCAATTCTGTCGACCGTGAATTGTTGAGACAGTACCTGACTGCAAACGTAGTACCGAGCAAGCTTGTGACGCTCTCTGCATGAGTTGTCATATGAATTGACCACAACTAGTGTCCACCCAGGATAGCCACTGTCACCCATTCCTATAAAACTTCATCATATTCGTACAGAAGGATATAACCTTAGGTGCATCCGACTTCACAAGGATTTACCTACTTCCTGGAGGCCATTTAGTTGACTTGGAGTAGGCAGACGATATTGTCCTGCTAAGTGAAGACTCTGCGAAAATGCAGGGTCTGCTCGATGCGTTGAGGAGAAATCTGAGTATGTTTCGCAAACATTTTGCTGGCGTTGGTCAAATGTAAGATGAAGATACTCCAGGACTAGTCTGGAACTGGTCCTATTTTAGGATAGGGAGTGAAGTGGTGGATTATGTCGACCATTTCACTTACTTGGGGAGTTGCATCAGCCCGAACGGGGTAATTGCGGATGAAATGTGACAATTTGCATCATCTGTGGCTCTGACTGGCAAGATATACGACTACCTATCAAACGGCGCGTATACTACTCTGCAGGCCATTCTGTCCTATTGTAAGGGTGTGTGGCATGGCCGGTAAAATTAGAAGATATAAAACGATTACAGTGTTTTGATCACAGATGTTTCCGTAGCATTGTTAGTGTTTAGTGGAATCACCGTGTGAGCAATGTTGAAGTCAGGCAAAGGTTACTAGGCAACACAGACAATTCGATCAATGAGGTTGTGAACGTTAGTCGACCGAGATGGCTTGTGCTTCACCTCTCACCTTTCTGTCGTTTATCATTTTTCTTATTGGTTGATAGATCGGGTCTATGTCTATACATCTATTGATTGCTGACTGACCTGAATGCCAAGCTTCTAGAAATTCTCTCATATTCTTTGTGTTTCCTCTGTTCAGAACTTCTACATTGTCGAAATTGAATTCATGTCCATAATTATCCATGTGCATTGAAATGAGTGATGAAATGTCGAGGCGTTTAATAGCCAATTGGTGCTCATGCAGACGAAGGCGAAGAGCGCGGCCGCTTTGTCGAATGTAGTGCTGACTACAGTTATTGCAGTTGATTTTGTAAATGATGTTCGGTTTGTCTTCTTTGTTTGTTGCATCCTTTGGTCTGCATAATAGTGTTTGGAAGGAATTTGTTGGTTTATGAGCCACACCAATTCCACCAAGTGGTCTGGATAATCTTGTTGTGATTTCTGATATATTCTTTATGTATGCGTTTGTTGATTTCTGTCGATGACTTTGTAGTTGGTGATGCACGGGATAGGCATCTTCTGATAAAGTTTCGTGGGTAGCCGTTCTTCTTTAGGGTGGACATCAGGTAATTTCCTTCGTTTCTCCATGAAGTTGTTGTGCTGCAGTGTGTTCTCACTCTTTTGAATACAGTCTGCACGCAACTGATTTTGTGTGTTGTTGCTATTGTAGTTGAGGATTTGGTCAGTGTGTGTTGGCTTCCTGTACACTTGGGTTTCCAGCTTCCCGGCATTTGTCCTGCTGACTAAAACATACAGGAATGGTAGTTGGTTGTTTGACTCTTTCTCCACTGTGAATGTGATGTCATTGAAAACGTTGTTGATCAAACTGTGGGTGTTTTCGATATCAGCCTTTTTAATGATGACAAAAGTGCCGTCTACATAACGAATCCAAATTTTCGGTTTGATCACAGGTAGAATAATGGCTTCCAGTCTCTGCATCACTGCTTCTCTTGATATGTTGTATGTTGGGGTTCCCGGAAGTGAGACTATTGGTCGTAGAGGGATATCGGGTTTGTGTAGTTTTGGTCTGCCGTAGAATCGAGGAAGGATAGGCCCATTCGATTTCATACGCCATTTGTCTTGCTTTGTTATTTCTTCTGCTTTGAAGAGTTTGTTTAAGGTTTTATTGATCTGGTTGTCGAACTTTTGGATAGGGTTGGTTTCAAGTGGTTGATACACATTTTCGTCTTCGAGTAATTCCTCTGCCTTCTTGATATAGTCTTCTTTGACCATGACTACTGTAGTGCGTCCTTTGTCTGCTGGAAGTATAACGATATCTTTCCTATTTTCCAGCCTTTTTATTGTTTTCTGTTCTTGAGTGTTCATTTGAGCATGATGTCTCCTCTGCCTGGTTAGTGGTACGATTGTTTGCCGTATTTCTTGCTGAGTGACCTCATTTAATCCTGATATTTTAAGTGAGGGGATTCTAATGCCGCAAAGAATTCTGGTTTAGAGGCATCTCTTGTGTTGTAATTCAGTCCTTTTTGAAGGAGAAGTTCTTCCATTTTCGTTAGTGGTTGTTTTGATAAGTTGATAACGCAGTCATTTGTTTCTTCGGTTGTAGGTGCTTCTGAGATTTTGAGTAGCTTTTTCCTGAGGACTTTTCTTCGTTGTTCTTTGTATCGTCTATTTGATTGTCCTGGAATTGAAAAATCAAGTAGATGATACAAAGAACAACGAAGAAAAGTCCTCAGGAAAAAGCTACTCAAAATCTCAGAAGCACCTACAACCGAAGAAACAAATGACTGCGTTATCAACTTATCAAAACAACCACTAACGAAAATGGAAGAACTTCTCCTTCAAAAAGGATTGAATCACAACACAAGAGATGCCTCTAAACCAGAATTCTTTGCGGCATTAGAATCCCCTCACTTAAAATATCAGGATTTAATGAGGTCACTCAGCAAGAAATACGGCAAACAATCGTACCACTAACCAGGCAGAGGAGACATCATACTCATACTAGCTGGAGACTAGGAGGCACATCTCGGGCGTCTAGGCTTGGAGGAGTATTGTTGCGAGGGCCAATGGGGATAAATCGACGCATACCCTGTATTTGTAACTGCCTTATACAGTTCCGTTCAGATCGCAATATTGCAATTACTAGTGAAGTACCTGTTTCGATTTTGACCATGTTTTAGTGGACTACGTTTATGTTGTCTTTTTGTAGTCACTAAATTCGTCGGCTGAAACGGTTCAACATAAGTAAGCTGGTTGCATCTAATATTGCATCTGAAACCTAAACCGAAGTAGATTCAAGGCAAACTATTGAACGTTTAAAGGGCATAGATGAGCACTGACTGTACTTGCAAAACTTCATCAAAATGGCTATTAAAGCTACTTTCAACTTTGAAGAATGCCCTGCTAAATGCTACTGAGTCTCTACGATCAACGGTATATTCCGGTGGGTAGCGAGTTTTATGATATACGCAGGTCCCTTACACAACTACCTACTCAGCATTTACGCAAGGACCATGAGTTCTGATGGTTATAACATGCGATTCAGGTGGAAGCAGACGCTGCATTTTTCAGTAGTCTGGAACTGCTTCAGAGTCACTGGCAGCAAAAGCCTGGTGTTAATGAGACCATCTGTGAAGTAGATGGTAGGTCCATCAGTAACTTGGAACGCTAAGCGGAGAACTTCGAAAAACAGTTGAGCTGGCCTACAACTTCAGTAATACCGACCCCAATATGTTGCACTCCATATTCGGTTAACATCAATCCACTTAACGACGGAGAGGTCTGTAGGCCACCATGACGTTACATTTCCCGTAAAAGGTTGGATATACGAAGCGTTCATCCCGGCCGGAGGTTCCTTTTCACGCCTGCAGTAACTGACCTCTTCAATCTGAGGATATCCGACGACGCTGCATTTCTGATCACCTTTGTGTCTGCAGGATTGCACGCATGCGGTACAAACATAATGTAAGTAATTGCGAGGT